GCAACCTGTATTGAAAATTTTTCTAATCAATTTCCATCCCACTGATCTTCATCTTGTTAACTATGACCCACTCATATCTGATCATAACACTCAAGTCTGTGAACTTGAATTCTTAACTGATTTAGAAAAGGTCTCCAACCCGAAAGGGATGATAAGGAGAACAAATCCATCAACTTTATTGATTCTTAACAGACTTCTTGAAAAAGAAGACTGGCACGAAGTCTTCAATAGAGAAAACCCCGGGACCTTGCCTATGATGAGTTCATAAATTTTTTACCTTTCATTTTAATAATGCTTGTCCACTTTCAACTTTTGTGATCAACCCCCTAGAGAAAGAATAATAAAATATAGTAAGAGAAACAAATGAAAACTATAACACCTTAGAGCTTGTTAGAAATTGTATTATCAATAACATTGGCAATATAGACGAACTGAAAAAAATGCAGAAAAAAAATTTAAAAAGTCTCAAGCACGAAGTTGATAATAATGTGAAAACAGCCAATAGTAACCGTATTAAAAAAGCAAAAAAAGTATCAAAGGAGACATGGAATCTCATAAATGAAACTAATGGAAAAAGCAAACCGAGTAACTTCGAAAGCATTGCTCTTGTGGTCAAAGGTACACGCATAACTGACCCCGTAGAAATTTGGGTAACGCCTTCAACAACCCCTATTTGAAGTTCCAGAGAACATCTGCCAAAAACTACCATCCATTGATTTTAATCTTGATAACATCAAACCTAATGACTCTTCAATGCATTTGAAAGATGTCTCTGAAGCTGAATTGATGAAAATCATTCAAGGCCTCAAAAAATTTTAACTCTTTGGTACTGATGGTATCTCCATATTATTATTAAGAAACTAGGGTAAATATTATCAAGCCCCTTCTGTTTATTGCTAAGCTCATATTACTTACTGGGATCTTTCCATCTAAACTAAAAATCTGCTTGATAAAACCTCTGTTTAAAAAAATAGATAAAGAAAATCCAGAAAATTTTAGACCCTTAAAAATCACTTCATCCTTCTCAAAAATCTTCGAAAGAATGATTCTTGATAGATTAGAACCTTTTCCCCAGAAGTAGTAACCAAATCTGCCATAACCAATTTGGATATAAGAAAAAACATCAACAATTGATGCTTTGGGAGCTGCCATCGATACAGTTGCGAAAGCTCAATTTAATAGTGAATCTGTCATAGCTATTTTTCTCGATCTCAGTAAAGCCTTTGACTGCGTTAAACATGATCTACTTCTAAAAATGCTACATAAACAAGGAATCAGAGGCAATGCCCATAAAATTTAAATTTAATCCTTCCTTAAGAACAGGGGCCAAAGTGTGGAAATTAAATCTATTAGTACCATGAATGTTTTATCAAATGTACACTCAGAAATGAAGAAGGTTAAATTTAATGTCCCTCAAGGTACCGTGATTGGCCCTATTCTCTTTCTAATTTATGTTAACTGCCTTGAGTTTATCATTTCCAATATGGACTGTAAAGCAGTTCTTTATGTTGATGACACCAACATTATAGTTAAAGCTAAAAAACTTGATGACTGCATTTCTAAAACAAAAACAGTTCTCACGGGAAATATCTCGAATTTTTACATCTCTAAACCTGTCTAAAATTTGGGGGAAAACCCACGTTATGTCCTTTGATAGCTCAAATACCTATGAAAATATCTCCGTGCTGGGCAATACTATTCCCCTTTTTAAAAGAAGTTAACTTCCTTGGCCTCACTCTTACCAAAGATCTGAAATGGATGGCTCATACCAACAAAGTAATATCTAAATTAAATAGAGGTATATTCATGCTAATGCAATCAGTGCAAAGTCTCAATAAAAGTGAAAACATTTTAGTCTATAACGCCTATATCCATTCGCATCTTATGTACGGTGCTCTTATATGGGGTAATCCCCATCTTTCTGTGATATGTATGGATAGCATTTTTAAAAAACAAAAGAAAGCCATAAGAATTTTAACTTTTAACTATAATAAGTACAAACAGAGTTGCAGAGGACTCTTCAAAGCTTTAAATGTTCTTACATTTCCATCCATCCATATTTTACAATGTGCTAAATTTGTTAGATGTAATAATTACACCAAGAGCGGAGAAATTCACTCTTATAACACCAGGAATAGCAAACTAAACTTTTACCGTTCCCATGCCAGCACCAAAGAAATACAGGATCACGCCTGTAAAATTTACAACAATCTTCCTAATCAATTGAAAGAAATTTCATGTCTCAAAATGTTCTGTAGGGAGCTTAAAAGGTGGCTGGTTCAAAAGGAGTTCTATAGAGTCAATGATCTTTTTATGTAATATTACTGTGTTGCTTATACTTGGGCTGCCTGGTCGCTTCATTAATGATCCCTTCTTGTTCTTTGTATCATGCTTTGTATCTCATTTTTTAACCTCTTAATCTGTGACATCAGCCATGTAACTCAATGTAACAAATAATGCTGAATAAATAATCTAATCTAATCTAATCTAAAATTTTACCAAATTTAAGTAAAAAATTCAACACGCATTTTTCAAACAGAATTTACGGCTTATCTATGCATATATTGTCGAATCCGGCTTTGCTAGTCTGTTTGCATGTCCATTGGGCCTCAAAATAAAAAATCACACCTCCGTAAACTTTTTGGTTCATTGCAAGGAGAATTTTTAGTAAACGACTAAAATAACACTAAAACCCTCATAACTTTGGAACTAATGGGAGTTGGGAGTCCAGTCTGTGGCTGTAAAAGTTTTTCATAGTAAGCAACTAAAGCACCAAAAACCAAAGCACTGCCACCTATACTTTGGAAGATAGTTTTTTCACCTTACAGTAACCTTAAGGGGGGACCCTGGTGAAAAAATCGCCAAAATTGAAAAAAATAGTATTTCCAAAGTTCATAGATAAAAATGTGCATAGAAGGTTTCAGATTCAACAGGTTGAACACCTTTAAGCTAAGTGGGTAGTTTCTTTATCATTTGGAAGGAAATAACATTGAGATCAGTTGTCGTTGGCTTCTACGCTCAACTTCACAGCTTTGCTCAGTCGACAAAAAATTTTGTCGTAGAAAGGCTTCCTGCGTTCCTGGTTGACACCTACATGAGTCGTCTTGCTTGGACTCTATTCATTGATGACTTGTCGACAAATTTTAGTGACGGAATCTTGATATCAGCCCTACTTTTTTTAAAACACACCTAAAAGCTTGAAAAAAGGGAAAAAAATCACTTTTTTTTAAATGTTAAAATTTGAAAATTGATATCTCAGGACAGAAGTTAAATTTGATAATTCCGTCACTAAAATCTCTTCTATACATCTTTAGGATAACCCAAAAAAAATTTCAAGACTTTCCGTTCCAATGAAAGACGCAGGAAGATTTTTCCCCAACGCTCCAATAAACACTAAAAAGCCACTTTTCTCAGAGACCGTTCAACATTTTGGATTGAATTTTGTTTTGGGAACTCACCATAATGAACCTAATAATTAAGCAAAGTTTCAACTTTCTGGGATTATTTTGAAGCCTACTTGAAAGTTTCACCAGGGTCCCCCCTTAAGACAAAGAGGAGCGAAATCGCCGATGGTCTACTTCAAACGGCCCTGATATGCTCAAATCTTCAGTAAAAATAGTGAAATTGAGCAACTTTGAGAGCCTGTAGCATCCAAACCCGACGTCGTAGAGCCTCGTTCGGCACGGCATTCGAAAGAGCGCATTTTTTGAGTATCTGAGACCCATTTGGGTACTTTTTTGGATCTCGGTTTGCGAGAACCCATCTAGTCCCAAACCCTCGAAAACAGCTGTTTTTGGGGTGTTTAGACCCGTACCAAAGCCACAGGGGGTGTCGGATTTCGTCCAAGGGTCTTTTCGGCAGTTCGTATACATACAAGGAACCGATAAAACACCACAAGCGCCCGCTCCTAGGATGTCGCCGACCAAGTGGTTTTTTTTTGTCTGGAGCTTCTCTTTGCCTCGTCGCCCCAATTTCAAAAATGCCTCTAGCTGGACCCGATGTCAAAATCCTCCTCCAGCCCATGTAGACCTGCAGCATCGCCCTTGGGGCTCCGATCGAAAAAGCCGTCAACGGGTGGTTTTAAGGGTCACCCAAGGAGGCTGCATGTCAAATTTGGTGAAGATGAGGCAACGACGGGAAGTCCACGGACAAACGGACGGACGAAGGAACGCACAGCATGCATCCCGTATTTTTATTAAATATATTACGGGACGGGCCAAAAAACGGTACACACAGTCAGCATGACCTCACCGATGCAGAACATGTCATTTAGCGAGGGATTGCATTCCATTTCCAGTAGCTACAGTGATTGCGCCGACTCAGCGCCTGCCCCAAAGGCACCCAGCCTACTTCCCAGTACGAAGTGTTGCCTGCCGCACCAGGCGCTCAAAGGGTGGTGCAGCCTCTGTGCCAAAAGCGCGCGGACCGCGATCCGCTAGGTAGGCTTTTCTTAAAAATTTTATTTGCAATCAGGTCGTGGTGCCAGAAGATCCTCCAGATTCAAAGGGAAATGTGCTTAAAGAATTCTTAGTCCCGAGATATTATGCAAAAGATTTAAGTTTTTCAGGATAAATAGGAGCATTTGCCTGATTCCAAAAATACCCCTACATGCAGAGCTAGCACCACTTGCAGCCGAAATCCTCCTCCCGCTCATGTTATGCTTGACCTTTTCTGCCGTTTTTCGGAGTTTTTCGCTTACTTTGAAGCCTGTTGAAACAAGCCAAACAATTCAACGTCAGCAACATTGGAGGGCTAGTTTCAATACGCGACTACTCGTGTAGACCTATAGAAAAATCGCAATACACTTTCTTAGTCGGTCGATCCACTGTTTCCAAGATCAACTGCCGAAGGCGGGATCGTACACACTGTTAAAAAAAGTGCTGTAAATTAACAGCACTTATGCTGCTAAGTTTGACAGCAACACGACTTGTTTTATTACAAGCATGTTGTAGCCCTCGGTGCTGTTTTCTGACAGTTCGATTGTAATAAAACAATACTTCTTTGGAGTCTTCGACGATGTATTCCCAACATTTGTGTTGATTTCATCGTGCTGTTATTAAACAAGACCCTTGTACCCTGACAACAATATATGTTTTAAGATTGCAAAAGGCTGTTTCTAAACATGAAACCTGTTTAACGACAACACAACTGTTTTTAATCACGATTACATTATTGTTACTTGACAAGGAAGTTATGATACGGAAGTGCTGTTTCTGGATGGGTTTCCCGTTCAGATACAAAACAATATGGTTGTTATTTAACAGCATTACTGTAGGTGATTGTGTTGTAATATTACAGTGGATTTTTAACAGTGCAGAAGTTTCGGAAAAACTCCATGATTTTTCCATTTTTTTTTTCGGAATTTTCTGACAGTGTGAAAAGCAATGTTCGTATTGACGCTAAACTCATCGCGTTTGGATTCCCAGGGTGTGCTTCGTGCCAGGTCCATGAAGTGCAGCTTTGTCGCGGCAGTGGTCTTGGCACGCCGAAGGTGCGACGAGACACGTCGGTCGCGGAGAGTGCTGTCCACCGAGCCACTGCACTGCCGCCCCGGGAGGACAGCTCGCCCCACTGTAGAGTCTGGACGGTGCCCGTGCTCTTCCGAAGTCGCCGCCGTCACGCTCGTGGCTAGAAGGCTTCCCATGCAACCTCTTCACACTCATAGCACTGCACCGTGGCGGCCGGCAGCACGCGCCGCACCGCGGACACCTGTGCAGTGCAGGCTGAGGGGGAGTGGGTGACGTACCCCCTCCACAGCACGACCCTGGACACGCGGAGGCCGCACTGGCCCAGCAGGGCGTCCAGGTCGTCGCATCCTCTGGGCCACTGCCCGCCCCCCGGAGTGCCGACGTGCAGCCACAGCTCCTCCAGCGAGGCACTGTGGGCGCGCAGCAGGGAGGCCAGGGCGGGCCGGGGGAGTCCGGCAACACGCAGCCACTTGAGGGCGCTCCGTGGCAGGGCGCACTCTAAAAAAAATTGTGGTAGAAATCCTATAAAAGTATCGGACGCATTTAACCTATTCGGTATAGGATTTTTCCCACACAGGACATGGTAATTTTACCATATGTCGATATGGCAAAAATCCTATACATGTTGTTAGGTTTCTACTATATTAGGGTGTGGGAAAAATACTACACCGTGTATGGTAAAAATCCCATACGAATTGTGGGATATTTTCGTTACGTGAGGTGGTGAAACTCCTATTCAAGCATAGGAAAGCTTGTTTAGAGGATCATCATTCGGAAGAACATGGCGGCACATCTCACAGGAAGGCTTTACCAAAAATGAAGTAGTGAGAGTGAGGACTCCAGCAGAAGTAATCTCAAACTCGGAAGACAGTTCAGACCTGTCAAGGTTACCCTTAGACGAGGTGGACCGCGTAGCTAGACATGAAAAAGATCTTGCGTGCACCCAACCTAATGGCCGACCGCAGTCGCCAGCGAGTGGCAACATGGAGATGCGTTTTTCTCGACTATAGTGTCATATTTTGTTTAAAACTGAAAGCCAACGGCTAGGGCTGACACTTACTTAGGCAACAGATGATATAGTTGTCGAAAATTATTTTCTTTAGTAACATAAATCGGAAAGACTTATTGGTGAACGGGCACGGCGCTCCAAGCGCCACCTAGCGGCAGGTTTGTGAAACCTGGCGCCAGGCGGCTGACAGTGGACCATATACCCTAACCCACAGTTTACGTTTTGCAAGGTAACTTAACAAAAGACGATGTCAAAATGCTTTGGAGCGCTACGTTTATTTTCAGTCTCATTATAATATCACGTAAAATTTCGCAAGGATTTAAAACCATGGCTCATTTACATAAATAGTTCTCAGAGTTTCCGCGACTTTCAGACTTACCCATTTCAAGTTTTACTGAAGAAGTCGAAATAATCCAAAACCATATGAGATAATGGGGCAGAACAAGATACAAAATAACTTTAAACCAGTGTTAAAGAATCGTCTACAGTGCCAATTCCTATACAACGGTTTGACACACATGAGCTTTTGTTTACTTTCCTCTGGGCAGTTTTGCCGCCTTGGTCCTTGTGCAGCCTGTTACTAATATTGAATATCCGTTTTGTTCCCCTCTCTCCTCCAAAGATTTTTCAGAAATGTTTGGGATTCTTACTAATGCGTTGTAGGAAAAGCACTATACAACGGCCTGAAGTAATAGGATTTCTACTAAAAAGTGTGGCAAAAAACCGATCACGAGTACAGGAAATCAAATTCCTATACTCGGTTCGGATTTTTACTACACCGCATTGGCAAAAGAACGAAAAGCATAGGAATTTTCCAAATCATGTATAGGATTGTCATTTCCCATACCGAAGTTGGTACTTTTACCATACGACGGTGTAGTAGAAATGCCATTATTTTTTAGAGTGCGGGCAGCGAGGGGGGCTGTGCGTCCAGGGCACCGTCGCCGCAATACACGTCCATCCGCCGCAGTGCAGGCATGGCGTGCGCCGCCAGAAGGTGCTCCTGGCGGGGATACCACACGCTCAGCTCCTCCAGCGTCGGGGCGGCACTCCGCAGCACGTCCAGGGCCCAGGCAGGGTCACGGTGGCACCCCACGCTGGTCATCCGCCGCACCTGCAGACAGACGGCGTGAGAAGGCCGGGTTGGCGGAGGCCGCCAAGGCCTCGAGGTGGGCGGCAGGACTCACCCCGTGCTGCCGCACGCGGGCCAGCGTGGCCGCCTTCTCTTGCTGCTCGCTGCCCGCTGCAGTCCAACTGAGACTGCCCAATTTGAGCTCCTGAATGCGATCCGCGGCTGGGGGCGGAGCGGCCACTGCGGGCTGCGGCTGGAATGCGTCCTGTCGGCACGTCAACCCGCATTCAGTTTCACGCGTTCGGTCTTCGCAGGCATCACTGCCATCGCGGACGCCGGGGGAGGCGAAGTTGCAGCGTCCAACGAAACATGGAAGTGCGCCGATTTGGGCCGAATTTGGGCCCTTCGACGCGCATAGGATGCACTGACGATGCAGATAAACTTTGCTGAGTACTGATTTCGTCATTTGCCTTTGAAAGAGAGGTCCAAGCTCAGCAAACATAACCGTTCAAAAGATATTGGCCCAAACGTATGGCCATTTGAGAGGTGACCCACTGTAAAACATAGACATAGTAGGGGAGACTGGAAATGGCAATAAAAAGGCGGATTTTTATTGCCCCCCTTTTTGGCGTCCGAGGCGAGCAGTCCCGGAGGCAGCCAGAGGGGGTGAGGCGAGGGTGACAAGAGGAGGCTCGCCGCGCCTCCAGATGTGCTCCGCTCGGCTCCGCTCCGGGCTGGTCGGGGTCCGGCTCGGCCTAGCCGAGCCATCCCAGGTAGCACGAGCGGAGCCGACCCGAAGGCGAGACGTGCCCCTCGGGTCGACCCGAGGGGCACGTTCCCCGACACCCCCGCTTCATCCCCCCTGGCTGTCTCCGGGACTGCTCGCCTCGGACGCGACAAAGGGGGGCATTAAACCGGACGCGCCAAAGCACGGCAGCATAGGCCGGCTTCCAGTCTCCCCTATTTAGTCTATGCTGTAAAACGTTTCTGTAAACTGTGTGCTAGAATGTGGATCATTTCTAGCGTATTAAGCCCACCCTAGCCTTCCCCCCTAATGTTTGGGTAGAATTCTGTGCGTGTAACGTGTACTGCACGAAGGAATGAGAATCAGAGCACAAGAAAATGTCTAATGGACTCTTAACCTAAAGGTGACCCAGACAATCACGAGGCGTTTACGAATACGGAATCTCGTCCCTGCCAGGACCCTTTCATCTTGCCAGGGCAGGGCGCTGACGCGGTGCTCCACCGCCTCACTCGTTGGTGATTGAAACTAGAAGTCCCTGCTGGTCCTTGCTGGCCCGCCCCAGCCGGCCCCACGGTGGCGTACCTTGTGGATGCGGCCGTGGCGGTGCAGGTGCAGCACGAGCGCGTTGAGCAGGCTGCGGCTGGCGCCCAGGTCGCCCCTCCACTCGGTGCCGCCCTGGTGCCGCAGCCCGCACTCCATGCCCTCCAGCAGGCTGGCCGCGTCCTGCAGCTGCTGCAGGCCCTCCGGCTGGCCGGCCTCCAGGTCGCCGCCCTCGTCCACCGCCGCGAGCAGCTCCCTGCGGGCCTGCTTCACCTGCCGCTGCATGTCCCGCCAGAACTGCAGCAGGCCCTCCACGGCGTCCTTGGCGTGCTCCAGCGACTCCACCATCTTGTCCGTGTCCGAGTCCGCGTGCCCCAGCTGCTGTAGCCGCGGCTGCACCTGCTCCGAGCGCACCTTGCGCAGCGAGCAGAGCACGTGGCCGAGGTCCAAGCAGTCCTCCACCGCGGCCCGGTCGCAGCCACGGCACCACACTCTGTGCAGTGGTGTGCACGCAAAAAAATAAATCGATTTAGAGCTAAAAAGTTAGCACCAGTGCTAATTTATCTAGCTCTGTAGGCCCAGCAAAATTTTTAGCTGCACAGCTAAAAATTATTAGCTGGGTAAATTTAGCTATGGAGAAAACGGAGATTAGTGGCATTGAAAACAACTCTGGCTGCATTAGCAGTGTAGAATTCTTCATGATTATGATATTTATTAGAAGGTGCGGGATTTTCTGTTTAAGACGGACCAGTCGTCCTGAGGCGTAAGGCTCCTCCGGGACAGACGTGTCTCAGGGGACTTTAAAAATTGCTGACCATGGGTAATGTAACGGAGAGAACATGGGGAGCATCCGTTCCCCGACTAACCCATCTCTCACTGCTAGCCACCAGCGCGAGCGAAGCGCCACGGAACGAACGTAGCCTTGCCCTATCTCCTAAACATTTTTGCTGCATTGTAAATCCCATTTTTGCAGCCATTGATTAGCACTGCAGCAAACTGAAGTAGCTGAATCCTCAAGAAATGTAGGTTCCGGGAAAGCCGCACTGTTCAAAACATTCTGAAAATTCAGACAACTTTTTTCAGACTTGACGTTATGAAACACCAATTAAGACCTTTTTATGAAATTTCATAACTTTTGTCTGAGATGTCAGACAGGGCAGTCTGAGACCGTGCTTGGTCTGAATATTTGTACCCAGTCTGAAATTTCATAATGAGGGAAGTCATAAAATTAAGATTAGGCTGACTAATACAAAACCAGATATACAAAATAAAACGTCGCGCATCAAAGCATTATGATATTCGCAGTTGTTATGTTGAGGGAGCTTGTTGAATGCAAACTGTGGACCAATAACTTCTCAAATGGTTTGGTCCACTTGCTTGCAGCCGCCTGGAGTTACGTTTCAGGGACCTGCCGCTAGGTGGCGCCTGGAGCGCCGCGGCAGATCGCCAGTTTGTATTTCCGATTAATGTCATTAAAGTAAATAACTTTTGCAAACAGCATCATCTGTTGCTTTAGTAATTATCAGCTCTAGCCTTTAGCAATAATTTTGAAGCAAAATATTACTCCGAAGTCGATAAAACCGCATTTCAATGTTGGCTCTCGCTGGCGTCTGCGTTCGGTCATTAGGTTGGGTGCCCGCATGATCCTCCGAAATGTTGTGGCACACATGGGAGGTTCTATATGAGTTCTCACCCTCGAACGACGAGTGCCTCAGTCTTACTGCGGACCATCTCGTCTGATATTTTTTGAGTAGCGATGGTGACCATCGTGCGCCGAATCCCGGCGCGCTTTCAAGTTTGCTCTTTCTCTCACAGGAGAAAAATCGTTATCGTCCAGTAGGTCCGCCCTAACAAGCGTCTAGACCACCACAACAGACTGCCCTTTCCGCAGGATTGCTGCAGGATGAATTCACACAGTATGTTCTAAAATTTTGGACAAAAAGTATGAATTTTCAGCTACAAAGCAGTGGGAATTTTAAGACTTGGCCATGTCTGAATTTTAAGACTTCATTTTCAGACCAAGACGAGCCTGAAAATTAATAACGAGTTTATGTAAAAGTACTTCACTCAAATTAGTCTGAAAATTCAGAAATTTTTTTTAACAGTGCGATCTCCGGCAGACCCTCAACTAAAGGAGCAGCGCTACTCAGCAGAGGTCGCTAGCAGAGTTGCAATTTTTTTAGCTGTGGTGCTAAAAAACGCCAACTAAGAAAGTTAGCTCTGCACTGACTTTTATTTTTTTGCGTGTGGTGACATGAGTTCAACGTTTATTGTTATCATCGGGGCGTGACCGGTTTCTAAAGTGCAACAAAACAGCATGTTACGATGTAGTAAACGAATTCGTCATAGCATGGACCAATGTCCTGAAATGCAGAACTTAATGGTTTGGTGTACACTGTTAAAAAAAATATGAAAATTCAGACTGATTTCGTCTTACTTGGTGGTCTGAATCGTAAATTCATAAAATGGTACGAATATTAAGACCAAATGTCTGAAAAGTTTGACCTGTTGTCTGAAATTTGAATTTAGACTAGCAAGTCTGAATATTTAGAGCGATGGCTATCAAGTTTTGTACATTGTCGTCCGAAAACTAAATTCATACTTGTGAAATCGGAAAACGAGTGAAAAAACCCCGTCCCCTTTGTACATTTTTCGATTTTCTCAGAACTTTTATCAACACTACTGTTGTATTTCAAATAATATATACGTTTAGTGTCGTAAAAGCATAGAGAATGTTTCAGAGCTCCGAAATGGACACTTGTTGCTCTATCCGCTAGGTGGCGCTAGTGTCGCATGGATGATCTTTTGGAGCTAAAATTGCCACTTGAAGGCGAAATTGCGAATATTTTGTTACAAACTTATTCCAAGTGATTGTCTGAAAGGGCATGAGCGCACCAAAGCAAGATTCAGGTTAATAAGTGCAGTATAAGCTAAATAACAAAGAATACAATTTCACTCTCGCGCATGGCCACGGGTCGGCGCGTGGTTGGGCTAAGGCCGCTCTCCCTCGCAATTCGGCAGTCACCTCTAGCCTCTTCATTACCTTTGCAAGTTGGTGTCTACTGCCGTGTACCTAATTTTTGAGCCGAGACGATCCGCTGAGCGTCTACGATAAACCGATGGCAAAAGTTCGCCGATATGTGTTCTACTCTACAGAGCGGCATTTTTTGGTGCGACTGTTCAATGTCTTGTACAATTTATTTGATAAAATAGACCGACTGGTATCATTTTTATAAACATGTTGATTTGAAAATTCAGATAACGTCTTGAAACTTTCAGACCGCGAAGTATGAATGTTTTGGTACTAAAATTCAGACTGAATGTAAGTAAATCGACTTCTTACAAAAAATTATGAATTTTCAGTAATTTTTTTTAACAACTTATAAGTGCGCTAACATGCGATACGATTGGTCCAAGACGAGAGTTTTATATCCACTTTTACCTCCATATGATCCGTACAAAAGCGTTTTACTTGTGCGACCAGGTGGGATTCCATCGAAGCTATTTTGGTTTTCTGTGTGTTAAGGGGGCACACCAGTGAAAATCGTAAAATTTTTGGCCCCCTTTTTTTATCTTATCTCTTTTTTCTGCTATTCATTCCGAGTCGAACGCCGAAAACCCCACCTAAAAATTTCCAATTACTTTGGCTTGGGCACTTTTTTGAAGTTCCAAAAAAGGTAACTATTTTTGCATTTTTTACCTAAATTTGTTAACGTGCAGGTGTTTCACTTGAAGTCCAATGACAAAACCCTCGACCATCAAAACGCATTTGGGAAAAAGGAATTTTTGGCGAAAACCGAACTCAAAATGTCATAAATTGCGTCCGTAATGAGGAATAATGCGTGAAAACCCGTAGTTTCACTTCAAACGTCGTTTTCTCGAAACCCCATTTTTATACCTGGTGCCCACGATTGCGGCCGCAAAAATTGAGATAATTGAGTGCGGTTTGCGGCAAAATGTTCCTTAAACTTCCCGCTATCGTGTGAACCTCGGATATGGTCGTAGCATGAACAGGGCCTGAGCCACAGACACGGAAAAGTGAAAAAAATGGTCAAAAAATTAGTTTTTTTTTGCTTCTCAAAAAAACACATTTAGGATTTTGTTTCCGACATGTCCGTGGTTCACACGATAGCCACATGTGTCCTGATGAGAAATTTGAAACCCATGTTTGTGGCTCAATCGAGGGCTTCACAAAGTTGGGGAAAGTGGAGCCGTGTCACCTAAAAAAGAAGATGGCGCCCACCCCCCTTCCCGTCGCCGCCCCTAGCTGCCGTGTACTTTTTGGTTAAAATTTACATATTTTATCGTTCAGAATGAAATTTTAACCCATTACCTTTGTTACTTTTAAACAGAAAAACGTTTTTTCGAAGCCTCTGCATTTTCACTGGTGTGCCCCCTTAAAAAGACTGGTCTAGGAAGATTTTGGCTGAGCTTACTTCAAAGCTGAAACTTTAGAGTCCCGGCGCGGAGAAGATTTCCCTTTTCGGCTTCTTGTCGACGAGGTCCAGAATGGCGAAGTTCTCATAGAAAGGGTTTAAGCTTCGTCGCCGAACTCCTAGAAAAAGAGACAAAGATAAACCAAAAGGGTGATCTCGTGAGTAAGGCTTTACCGGAACCCTCGGAAACAAAATCGTGTAAAAATCGTTATTATTTTAAATTATTTTCAGTTTTAGTTTCGCCTTTTGTTTCAAGCAAAAAGGGGTGTGCTTTTTCCCTGCAAGTTAACAAAATGTATTCCTTCTGAAACAGACGGCCGGGAGTAGACATAACGGGAACCAAAATTTTTTCCCCTTTATGTTGACATGATTTCCTACAGATTGAAACCTTGTTTGGGGTGAGAACCCTAGTTCAAACCCAGGTTTCTTGGGAGGTTTTTACTAATAAAAATTGTCAGAATTTTGAGATTTTTTTCCCTTTTGGGTTTTTAATAATGGTGGCGAGTCTCTAATCGCCTTCGTGCGTTTCCTGTGAGCTGCCAGGGCCTCCTAGAGCACGAAAACAAAATTCACGGTGGTCCCCGAACAACCGCTAGAAAGCAACACGGCAACACTTTTAAAAAAAAATCTAAAAATTCAGACCACTTTTGTCAGACTTGGTGGTCTAAATTTATTTTTCAGACTTGTTTCAGACTGTTGTCTGAAAATTTTCCCTTTCCGGTATGAAAATTGCGCCCTGATCGTCTCAAAACCCTGAATTCAGACCAGCGCAGTCTAAAAATTTTAGATGGTTAAGGTGAGGTGTGGGTGAAAAGGGAAACTTCTATACCATTGGCTGTGGTGGTTAAAACTCAGGGCGTTTAAGTACTAGGTAGGAAACTATTACTCACAAATTTTCACCCAAATCTACCCACCCATTAGCCACAGTAGGCTTTTTTATTGAATTAAAGCGTTTAGTAGAAAACACCCACGCAAATTTTTTGACGGAATGATCTGAAATTTGTTTTGGAGTACCTAAACCCCCATACTTTAATGAACAGAGCGATTTTTCATTTTATTTTTTTGTATTTACGAGCAAGCTTCACAATTTTTTAATTGCAAAAAATAAGGTTTTTTCTCCTTTTTTACCATTTTAAGCTGAACGATTTCAGAAAGTGGATAGCTATTTGAAATATCTCTCTGTTACATTGTTACATGGACCACAAAGAACCCTTCAAAAAGTATGGCAGTATAAAAAAAAAGTATGCGTGGTAGTTACGGAGTAAAAAAAAAAATTTTTTCGACCTTTTTCGTAAGAGTTGGGTGACCAGAAAAGGGGCACGCATAAATCAGTCCATGTTTGATGAAACCCCTCACTTTGGGGTCCCTAACACAGACTTTAAGAACAGCTGTCGGTAATAGAAGAATTTTACATTAAAAAACAAGGGATTAAATTTATGATTTTAATGAATTTGGTCCCCAAATTTTACCCCCCACCTCACCTTTAAATCTGAAAATTCAGACCAACCCAAGATTTCATTTGTCCGCTAGATGGCGCGCATGTTGTGGACATACCTACTTCTGTTTAAAAGGCTTTTAAAGTGAAAAAATATTAGTTGAAAAATTCCAAATTGACAGGACTTAATCGGCCCTATGAGAACCATTCTCTGCTGCAAGATTTATCTCCGTAAAATGGGTGGAAATTGAACAATCCACATTCTAATTTACCTCTCGCGGGTGGCTCCGTGTCGCCATTTTCCTTTGGGGGCCACAGGCCGGCCTCTCGAGAGTCAGGGAAAAGGGCAGAGGTCCTTCTCCCTCATCACAATTTTTTGTCAAAGTTGTCCTTCGGGAGGTTCACACAAATGAGATTCTTTTTATGTCATATTGAACATGTCACGAACCTCAAAGTTCACAATCTTCGTACAGGACTGAATTTTCAGACCACCAAAATCTTAAATGTAAGACTCTCGGTTCTGAGTTTTTAGACCATCTAAATGGTCTGAATTTTTAGACCTCAAGTCTGTTTAAAAACTTCTTACCAAATTTTGGGCTGAATTTTCAGACTTTTTTTTTTAAAAGTGAAAAACCGAAAAAAGTGCGCTCCGTCCCGATTTTCCTTCACGTGTCTATTACCTCGTTCTACGGTACCCCAAAAAAAATTTCCAAACCGCTTTCTCAGCGAGAAGAAGTTAGAAAAAGACTGCATGGAATTTTTCAAGCAGAAAATGATCGCAAAATAATGAAGACAATATTGCAAACGTTGTACGAAAAACCCC